ATCCCTACTCCACAAAATACGATTTTTTTAGCTGTCAACTAGATTTAACATACGGTATGGAGACGCGATGAATGTGTCCGGTTTGAGCTGTGTGCATGTGCATGGATGTCGGCATTGATGAGATTCATGTTGGTCTGGATTTCATTTGAGAAAGAAGGAAAATCAGGGGAAAGTACAGCCTGACCGCTGCTCTCTCTGTAATTTGCTAGCGTGCTGAGGCAGAAAGGAGTGGTTTGTGTCCCTCTGATCCCTAGATTCACAGCATCCTATCTTGGCCTTGATGTGCAATCAGTGAAGTTGTGAACACTGGGCTGGACTTGCTTTCCAGGTGCATGTATTTCAGTAACCACATGGAATCAGTGGAAACCACAAGAAACATGTTGTGTATAATCCACAACCAGCTTCTGCTTATTGTAAAATAATGTAGCAGGAGCTTGCGCTAGAGCTGCTTGTGGAGGGCATTGTTTTTGATAACCACAGGGGTTGGAGTGAGTAAATCTTTTCATACCTGCTCAAGTATTGTTAAGTCATATTTTAGGTAAGTTCCATCAGGGTGTCCTCAGGGCCTAGTACTGTAGTATAAGACTCTTACCATGTATACACAATGTTCCCTGTTTGAGTTTGGATGGGGATCTTTGTTGCATGTCATCCCCCATGTTCCCTGTCTACCTCGTTTCTCAAGTAAAGGCAAAATGACCATAAATATAATATATATATATATAATTTAATGTAATATATAAATACCTGTAGAAATCAAATCAAGTTTATTTATATAACACAATTAAAGCAAAAAGAGTTGACTAAAGTTCTATACAAAATAAAGTGCAAGGCCTATCTGTAAAAAAAGGCAGATAACCTATATAAATTTATATATAAATATGTCTATTTATGTGTAAGTCATTTTCAATGCCAAAATGTATTTATTTTAAATTTATTTATTTATTTATTTATTTGCTCTTATGTCATTTTTTTGTCCTTCATATTTCACAGCAGCCATTTTGACATGAAACAGTATGGTAACACACCTGCTAGTAATGAGACTAACTAAGGTTCCATTCCATTCAGGTCAAACTGAGTCAGGGCAATGCTATTGTGCATGTTCACCGGAATAGCTCTGTTACACTGAATGGAACGGAGCCTTATTTTGTATCATTTGTAATGCCTGTGTTTAGTTGGCATCTTGGACCGGCATCCTTTGATTAGAAATAGTTTAATAACACTGTCATATCTCAGTGAAACTATGAATGGAGTCGTAGGACAAGAGACTCTGTGGCTTTCTAACAGGCAGCAGAACGGGTAATGATATCAGTTCGGCGCAGTTTGATAGACTGGTTAGCCAACGTTAGCACACAAAATGACAGCAACACACAGCGGGACAGTACATGTGGATTCATGAAGGATAAGTAACGGACATCGACGTAAAATGATAAGAGTCTTGCCCTCTATCCGTCTGTCTGTCTCTTTGCTAGCTGGTTTGTGTCAGATAAATGTCTCTGTGGATGTGTGTGTGTGTTTAACTCCTTGGCATAAAGGTAGAATTATTGTGCCTACCACAGGTTGTGTGTCTGGGCTCTGAGGCTGATGATTTATTGTTTGGTTAAATTTGGTTTTACATTTATTGGTTGTTGGAGCACCTGTTGATGTTTGATTTGTTGGTCCTGGTTTTGTTTGTAAGATGTGAGCTGTGAGTTCAAAGTAACTAGAAGACTGATTTTAGATCTGTGCCTGCAGTGTTTTAGGTGTTATTCTGTTTCTGAACTTTTTTGTTTTTTATTTATTTTGTTGGTGATTATGTTTTTGTTTTTGTTTGTTTCTATTGTAGGCAACTATTGTTGCATTTTCTAAGCTTTATATGGAATGGTAATGGAAAATAGACTGTACTTTCTAGTCTTCCGACCAAAGTGCTTTTACACTACATGCCACATTCACCCTTTCACACACATTCATACAGTGATGGCAAAAGGCTCATCACAAGAAGAAAGTAATGCATTCATTCACAGTCACACACTGATGCACAGCATCAGGAGCAATTTGGTGTTCAAGGACACTTCAACATGCAGCAGGAGGGGCCGGGAATCAAACGGCAACCTTCTGATTAGTGGACAACCCGCTCTGAGCTACAGCTGCCCGAATATTCAGCCCGCTTAATTGATACTGTCTGATTTTAATTTGTTGTTTGTTTTGATTGTTGTTTTTGAGTGGACCCCAGGAGGACTAGCCACCACTTTGTGGAAGCTGACGGGGATCCGATTTAAAGCTATCCTTCAGTCAAAAAATGCTTTATCACCACCTTCCCAAAACTCACAAAGGCGAGCGCTAACATTGTTCCACAGCAATCATACTGGCGATGCTGCCTACATTTTTTTCTGCAGACATTTTTTGTTTATTGGCCTTGTGAGTGCAGACATCGGCCAATGCCGATTATCTCAAAATGCTAAATAATTGCTCCCCCCGGCCAATCCCTGTGCAGAATGATACATGTGACACTAGAAGGATGTTTTCACATTCATCTGTGGAAAGCTGAAAGTTGATTTGTGACATCACAAATAGTTTGGAAGTCAGTCCTGGTCCAGTATGCAACTTGTACAGTGTGATGTAGAAACCTGAAGCCACCAGTGCACATCCACTGAGAATGGAACCATATCAGACACACATTATTGTTATATGTGTAGAGGGGATTTTTAAGAATAAAGAATATTCAGCACTGATCTGTACCTGTATCAGAGTATTGTCAGAGAATGTCTAATAAGGGGAGAAGTTCCACTCTCGGTACACTTCCGGCTTCTGAACTGTTGCAGTTCCACTCTGGTTCCATATGAGGGCGCTCACAGGATGAGTGCAGAATGAATGGAGGTCTATGGAGCTATACCCTCAAAATCCACTTTTCTCAGGATATCATTTTTTGTCTAGTAATTTGAATGTTGCATTCAAAAGGGGATGCAAAGAAATTACACATTGCTGGGTGTTAGATTTTTTAGAGTCACCTATTTGCTTTAAAAAGTCTTTTAAAATGTCAATAATGTCATACACATCGTACGGCCAGAGATACTACTTTACAGCAAGTCTCGAGTCACTTTGTGCTTCCGCGCTCTACACTTCCTTTTATCTCGAGGCATCGACAACACAGCTGACACAGGTTAGGCTCTCCCTGTCAATACACGTGCTAGAAAGAGTTTTTGTTTTGCTGTTTTAAACACCAAACCGAAATATTCATATTCCCGCTTCGGATGCCACGATGCCATCAAGCGGGATCTCTGGTCGTAATCAGTCCTTCACTGATTCATTCATTCAGTAGCAGAATGCTAGCGTGTTATGGGCAACAACAACTCGTCCTGTAAGAGATCGAAAGGACATAAGTACTCGTTCATTCAACTTTCGACCTATAACCCATGTTGAACTTGAAAAAACTACAATCAAATCTGAGATTTCTCAACAACAATCAGGTGAAAGAGACAAATGTAGCCGTCTAGCTCCATCTGCTCCCATTCATTCTGCACTGATGGGCGATCGCCCCCAGTGGAACTCTGGTGGAACTGCAACCAAAATTCGGTACAATGGGACTTAATAGGGAGTGGCCAGGCTCTCCGTAGACGGGCTCTGGTATTGTATTACTCTTTAGGCCTATAAGCAAATGCATAGCAAATGTGTAAGACCAGTATGTATGACATTTTCACTGTTTCTTTTTGTTGTGAACTTAAATCTGTTGATACATTGAATATAATGTGGTTTGTTGCATTACATCACAATATAACTGAAACAGCAGCTGGCCCCGGTTTGGCCCCTGTGGTTTGGTCGGAGTTAGAACTGCCACTGAGTTCTGCTGGGTTAGTAGGTCATGTTTGGCTCAGGTTGATGCAAACAAATAATGGAAAATGAGAGTGGAGCCAGGTGCTCTCTGTTACTGCAGGTACTTCATTTCTGAGCACTGTGTTCTCCCAAGATATTACTCTGGCTGAAAATGCAAGGTGTAATATGCCCCATAATGTTGCAATGTGCTTGTCTCACAAAGCAGGAAATAGCTGTTGCTTATGTAGTCGGTTCAGGTAATGGGTTCAGTGCATTGCTCATTTTGCCTGTCCATATCATGTTATTCTTTAAAGTTATGGGAAACTTTGCATTTCTTCCATATTCACAGTATACTACAGTATGTGGTGTAGTGACAAAAAATATCAACTAAAAATCAGCAGTGATCTTTTATTTTTCTTGTGTAAAACATCAGTCTAGTACAGCCGTTTAAATTAGAAGCAAATAAAATCAATGACAACCGCAGAAACAATAACGCCTTGTGTTGTCTGTAGCAATGGCAACACATGCACATGACACGTAAAAGGTAACAGAGAATTCCACAACCATAATGTACATCTGCATCGATCTACAATGAAGGTTATAATTAGTGCTGGGTGGTATGACCAAAAATCTTTATCATAGTATTTTTAACTTTATTTGACTGTCAGGAGTACATGGAATATAAAAACATTTTAATGTAATCATGTATATACTGAAGGCTTTGATTACTGTAGGGTTTTCTTGGTTGACTGGTTGGTTGAACTGTATGGACGTTTTGGAGGCTGTAGTTTAGTGCTGTTGAATTGTATTGCTTTGTACATAGTGGTGTTCCTAATATTTAGTCTACCTGTATTGATATAAATAGGGTGGAAAAATATTAGATACTAATACTTAGAAACATACATATGAAGCTGTATAATTCATAATTCAAACTAATCACACTATAACTCCTAAAGTGATCATCCAATTCAATCAACAATAACTAAACATGGTAACCTTCATGATGGTAGGACGGTAATGCTGAGTAAAACAAAAAATAACTAAAGATCAGAAAAATCATGAACCACAAGCATTTAGTAAATTGAAACCCTGCCAGAGTTGGGAAAGCTCTAATGAAAAACGTTGAAATGCAGATTCACAGGTGTCACATTAGCACACACCCTGAGCTATTTGGAGGCTCTATCATTAACATCAGTCGTCTTGTCTCTTTGCAGGTGTCAGTCTATGATTGTGTGAGGTCGTAGCCAATCAGCAGCAGTGTCAGGACCAGAGGACAGTGTACCAGCAGTCAGACCATGGACCTTAGATTCACACGGCTGTCACCTCTCACCAGGGGAGCTCTTCATCTCCTGCTGCTGGCCAGACTGGTGCTGCCTTCTCACACAGAGAGTGAGTACTAATATTATCCACATGGCTCAGAGCTCTGCCCACATGTTCACTTTTACAGGCAGGTAAGATCCATTAGCTCCTAGGGAGTCTGCAGGGACAGCTTTTAAATGGGACTTTGTTGTGTGACTGAAATACAGCACTGCTGCTAAGGTTTTACATTATTATTGCATCAGTTTTCAGATTAATTACTATCAAAAACAAAAATATTAACCCGTACCTTCTTCTGCATTGAGGATTGAAAGACGTGTTTGGAAGATTTATGAAAATTAAAGTGGAATTTAGAGATTTATGTATTTTATGTATTCCTGTGTTCTCAACGATTTGGATCGTCAAACTCACGCTGGTGGAGTAGCTCAACATGAGTGCTATTCAGAGACAAAAGATCCTCCTCACACTGTTGTTTCACTGCAGTCACCCAAACTTCCCAATTTCCCACACTCACAGTACTGAAGTTGGTGTAGGCATACACATGGAGTGATGAATGTCACATATTGGAGTGAATACTCACATTTAATGGTGGTTAATGGTTTCTTTTACCTTTACATTCTAGGGTGTTTTAAAAACATTAGAAAAACAATATAATGTCCATGTTTTATTTAATATTTCTTACATTCCTCACAAGACTGTTGAGGGTTAAATGTCTACTATAAAAGTATAGTAATGGACAGAGAGGGTCCAAAGGCATAAATTGTTTGTTTTTTTCCAGAAAAACACCAAGCTGCAGTGTTTCACTACCTAGGAATAGGAATCAGGAACTGGTTCCACTTGAATACTGATTCCAAATGATCCAGTCCATCGGAATCCTAGGCTCCAAGCTTATCAGGTCCTTTATTATTGCCCGGATGTTTGACGGTTGATGTCAAACACGTGTGTCGTGTGTTGAGTAAGAACCTAAAGTTAAACGAATGCTGTACAAATATTGTCTCATTTCATCCATTTTAGATTACATTTAGATGAACAGATAGCGCTGCTTTTTTCTGCTCTGTTTCTACACTGTGTTGATATTCAGAGATGATAAAGCAGTTATTTTGATTAAGAGTCAATAAGGTAATCTATAAAGTATTGGCTCAATAACCAGAATTGACAATGGCATTGGTATCAATAAAATCTTAGCAATCTGAACATCTGAATGGGTCCACGCGCATCAACCAACCCTCCTTCTGACCAGGAGGCTGCCTGCTTTGGTGAACTGGTGTTGCTAACAGGAATGGAAATTAATTCAGTGATAGTAGTGTTTAACTGAAACTGAAGATAAATATGGATAACTCCTCTTCTTGTACTGAGGAAAAGAATGAAATTAATTAAAATTTAGTTTTTCAGCTCTCACACATTCACATGTTCGCACTCTTGCAAGCCAACATTTGTTACAGGATGAACTGAGCTTAAATAGATTTCTTTCGTAAGAACTTGCTTGCACATAATAAGGTTAATAGAGATGAAATGTATTCTTTAAAAAATTTGTGGGGCTTATAAAAAAAGATGAAAAGATGGAGGAAAAAAAAATCTATAAGAAGCCCCTAGCAGGATAGCCTGCAGCCAGTAATGTGAATAGAAGAAACACTAAAAAACAACATGCAGCTGCCATTATGACTCAGAAAGCAGGGTCATGGCTGGGTTTGGAGACTAAAGAATGATCTGCATGTATTGACCAGACCCTGGCTAATGCAGTTAGTTATTTGGTTCTCCCATGAGAACCCATTGAATCAAGTCAGCTGTGATGTGTAATGAGCACAACATTAAATTTGGGGCAGGAAAAAGGGCTAAAGGTGAAAGGTTGAAAAGGGACATTAAGAAAATGGACTTTCATATTAGTTTAGTCAGAAAGGGAAATGGGTTTGACATGCAGCTGACAGGAGTTCTGGCCTTGAAGACAAAAATTTGAACGTGCCCTTCTACCCAGTATAGTAAAGGTTCTATTTGAGTTGGAAAAATCCAATAAAATGTGAGAATAACCTGAACAATGTAAGACAAGAAGCAGAGCAGGAAATAGACATTTGATTGCCCGCTTTGCATGTAGCTGATATTTGCTGATGCAGTATTTAAATTGTGCTGTGTGCGACCTGTATGCCCCTAAGTGAAGTAACCTAACTCCCAAATGTACTGTCAGCTCACAGAACATGTAATGAAATATGGGTCTGCAAACAAGAGCAACATTTTGTGGGACAATACAGGAAGTGGAAGCTTACAGTATGTATATGTATGAGTATCTGTCCTTCTGAAATTCAACAATATTTCAACATCTGTCAATATTATGCAGTATTTTTTGTAGTGCATTACTCATTTTCCTGTCAGTAGCAGAATATTCTTTCACAAGTCTGTTTCTTCATGTGTTGTAGTAAAAACAAACAGCAGGTGCACTTGCAGCTATAACAGCAATGATTTGAGAACCCAATAGTGATGCATGGTGGGATCACTTCTCTGTATGTAGGCCAGCCAGCAGCAGGAAAATGCCTCTAAGCCTCTGAGGTGGAGGAGGAGGTCTTTGGAGGGCAATGTTTCTGATCAGCAGGTTCATTATTGGGGCTAGTTGCTTTATGGCTGCAATGAACACATTGTGTAATTTCCCTCTATAATTTTGCCGATAGAAATTCATCAGGAGGAATGTGTCAGCAATTACCTTCCAGTGTGAGCACTGTGTGAGCAAATGAGAATCATTGATTTCTCACTCAGAGTTGAGATTTTCTCAGATTCTAGAAGCTTATTAAACCCTTTGAACTTGATTGATGCAGAATGTGTCAAAAATTTTACTCTTTTTCTAAATTATAAGAAAGTCAATTTCTTTTATTCACCACTTTGTTCTCGTGGGTATCGCTGCCTGTCTTCATTCATTCTCTATGTAGCTCGACCAGAGGTGCTCTCTCTGGCTCGCTGAAGCCGGACAGGAGTGGTCAACTTTGATCTGTTTACAAATGAAGGAATCCTCTTCAGTATGCCTTTTTAAGATCTTGCCAAATCGTCATCAAATTAAGATGTTTTGTTTAGTATCAAAGGTAATGCAGTGGTGGTTGTCTGCACATCCATTTTATCCAACAGATCCAACAAGGTCCACTTAGTAGCTTTTTGTGGAGCTGTCAGCTGGATTTGCCATTTTAGTAAGACTGGGTTTACCTTTGAGTTAAGATTATTTTGTCAAACTAAACAAACATGCAAGATGCTAGATGATATAGTGCCACTGGGAAGCCAATTGATGGAGTAGCCTAAACTAAAATGACAGTACACTGTATGGCATGTCTATCTAAATACGTCTATCTAAGTGACTGTGCCATAAGCCTGTCAATAAAGGAAGTGAAAACCAAGCAAAAAAGCCAATGATTCCTGTGGAAGTAAGCTTTTTGGCTTTATTGTGATTTTATCATTTTTAATGATTTGTGTATCTGGGGCATATCTGGCTACAGGGGCCACTTTTATATTAATTATCAATAAAGAATTTCAATCAGTAGTTAAAGAGTATATAGCCTCTGAGTTCTTGCCCCTACAGGAGCTTTTTGGTTATGATGGTGCACTGTGGTATTGTACTGTGGATGTTTGTGTGGTTGGCCAGGAGGCAGTTTTATGTAGTATTGATGGCCTTAATAGCTTTATCATTATTGTATTTTGTGGAGATGTTTCTGTTTGTGCAGTTCATCACATAGTGTAATGCAGAGAGGTGAAACTTTTAAATGTATCTGGAGATTATTGGATGTAATTCAGTGAAAATTCTCTGGTTCATCAGTGAAGTATACGGAACTACAGTGCAGATTGGAGTTGGCTTACAGTGAGAAGCAAGGTGACAGCTGTCTCATATGAATGGGGGAAATTATTAGCACTTGATTTGATAGAATGGATCTCCCTGCTGATGCAAATATGACAATGTGAGATGCTGTGAATGAGATGGATGAATGGAAATTGTGATTTTAATACAATTAATCACGCAGCATCCATCAAATGCTGAAATGTCCTCCACGTGTGTGTGCTGATGAAAATTACCAACCAAATGATACTATGTCAGTTTGAGTTGGTTGCATGTCAAATGCCAGCTCTCCACAGGGAAGTTGTTCTCTCTCAGAGGGAGTGCTTTACAGTTGTCACCTCTCTGTAGCTCATTCCCACTTCATAATGAAGAAAAAAAAAGAGAAATCTTATTAGATCACACTCAGCTCACACAAAAAACAGTTACATTCAGTCAGATATTTTCTGAAACATTAAGCTATTTAATCACTCACTGATAGACGCTAATTTCCACATTTCTTATATTTAAAGCCTCTACAAGGAAATTTTGTTTTGTGTTGATTCTGGCGTCCTCTGCAGTACTGTTTCTACTGTCTCATTCATTCATTCATTCATTCATTTCAAAGGGAGCAGTTTGTTTATGTTGGTCACATAGAGACGTCAGACTGTTTCATAATCAGTTAAATGTTCCTTGTACATTTAATTTCTTTAAACTTATCAAAATTCAATAATTGGTCATACACAAATGGCTGTTGTGCATGGTAAAGTCTTAGCTTTTAAGGGGTGTCAAATGTAATGTAAGATAAAAATAATCATCTTGACATTTCTCTTCTGACTGCCAAAAATAAAAGATTACTAAGCATTTCCAGTGAGCGGTCAAGTCCTTGGGACTTAGTGAAAAGTGTAGGTGAGAAGGCCCTCCTAGAATTTCTCACCTGTTAGAATCAGTCACTGGTCACTGTGTCGATTAGGCAATCATAGAGTCCAAAGTTTTTGTCTGGACTAGCTGAGAGACATGGCAGATTACGTGTTGGAACCTGACCAATCAGAGCTTTCTTTCTTGACTTGCGTGATGTACTGAGGCGATCAGTAAGGTGGCTCACTGTTCAAACCGGCAGCATCAACATCATTCCCCTGTCAGCATGCTTTTCCATGAAGGTACTTAAATCATAATCAAGTTGACAAATTGATAGTATGTGCTTGACTGACGCATACGCTGTCGTTCGCCATCTATATCATGTTACAACAGTTCTGGTGAACAAGATTATACACTGCCTGTCCAAAAAAAAAAA